ATATATATTTAAAATTTTATATGAATTAAATAAATATTCATTGAATATAAGTAAAAATAGTAATTATAGTTTTTTTTTGTAATGCACTGTATAATATTGAAATACTAACTATTATAATTTATTTAAATATTATTTGATAATGAAATATATAATATCAAATTATTATTTACTTGATAATATATAAAAGTATAATTTTTTCTTATTTCTTTTCTTATATTATTCTATTTTTACATATTATTAAAGATTTACTATATTTTCAATTTTAGAATTCTTTCTTGTATAGTTAGTATCTTCAAGTACTTTTACTTTATATCAAAAATTAGATTATATCTTTGTTAACTTTTATATATTATATTTTTGATATAGTTATACTTAAGTGCTTTGCTTTATGTTAAAAAATTTGATCATTTTATATGTTATTTGTTTGATAATCTTTGCATATTATCAAAGGTTTACTATATTTTTTGATTCTAAAACTCTTATATAATTACTATCTTCAAGTACTTTCATATTATATCAAAAAATTATATCTCATTTTTAATAACTTTTATATATTATATAAAAATCTCTTTATATAATTCAGATATTAATATAATAATTTTTTATTTGAATTTTTTCTTATACTTATTTGTAAAAGATTACAAAAATTCTTTTATCTAAAATTTGTAACTAGTTAATATAGTAATATCTTTTTATCTAAAATATTCTACTTAACTAAATTATATCATTTTGAAAGATTATATATACTTAATGAGAGCTATAACTTGACTTTTTAATTCTTTTTTATAGGATACTTATAATATAAATAAGATTTCAAAATTGACTAATATCTAAATTCAAAATATTATAAATCAAGTAACTTTAAAAATCATTCTCTCAGAAAATAATTAGACTAATCCATCTGAGATAAGTAAATTTACTACAATTTTGATTCATTTTTCAGATCCAGATAATTTATTATAAATCTCAGTAAGTATATTAATCATATCTTAATCAAAGAAGATTTTGCCAGAAACTCAAGTAAGTATATCATCTACATCTCAACTCAAGAAGACTTTATCTGAAAAACAAAATAATCCAACTTATACTCATGCTTATTTTTATAATAAATTATTAGAGCAGTATTCTAATTTGTATAAAGAATATAATAGTGAAAATATTGATTATTATAGGATTAATGTTGAATCTATATATCCAATATACAAGCTAAGTCATGAGAATGAAGAAAGCATAAAAGGTAAATATAAAGATCAATCTTACTATATTAAATGTGAAGCATCTGAAATTGCTACTGCCATATTAGTTCATACTGAAATAATTGTATAAATCATCATCTTTTCAGTTCTGACATTGAAGCCAGATATATGTATTTAGATGTGGTCACATTCTCACTTCATGAGACAGGGAATTATCTTTTTTTGAACTTGAAAGGACAATAGATAATATCTAATATAGAAATTTAAACGAACGTGATCTTATAAAATAATAACAGGAATGTGTTAAACTTGCAGACCAAGTCCAATGAAATCTCTACGAATCAGGATACTCTAATCCCTGAATATTTTGATTGGCAAGGTAAATTAATTGGTGTTTTGACCAATAAAATTCATATAAAAGATATAAAAATGAAACTGGACTCGATCCTTGGATAAAGTCTGAAACTTCTGAATCCTTACAAATCATTGAAGCTGGCATAGCCAAAAAGGATGCTAATAATTATATTCTACAGAACAGTTTATTAGAAACTCAGGTAAGAGTACAGCAGATAAATGTTCTGTCTATATTATCTAAATGATAATTTCCAATTTCTATTCTATCTAAAACAAACATAAACATGTTATTAAAATGGTATTAGAGCGATTTTCTTATTTAACTCTAAAACGTAGTTTTAAATATAGTAATTATTTTGATTTTAATAGATCAGTACTCCGTCCTATATGCAATGAAGACTATAAAAACAAAATATAAGAGATAATATAGAAGATAGATGGAGTAGTGGTGATTATGTTAATACAAAAACTTATCATATCAATTGTTATAAGAATTATCAAAATTCAATCCAAATAGTAACTACGAATGCATAAACTAACAATTATCTATTATTGACTCGATGCTTTATAGCTGGAAACTGTCCCCGCCAATATATTTTTTCACACCTCCATCCTAATCGACTATAATCACTAGTGCCAGTGGGAATGATAAGATTTACGAGGTGGAGATTATCTTTATCAAAATATAGAGATCTTATTTGTTAGAATTTCATTAATGTTTTTACAAGATGAGCAAATAAACGTATCTTTTTATTTTGGATAATGGAGCATATAGTATAGTTCTAAATATTGAGTTGCTAGCTCCGCTAATTCGCAAATTAGTAATTTGGAGTATCGTATAATATGATGCAATTTATCCAAATACTTGGCTTATTTTGTTCATTATTCACCATTGCCGATTAATAAAGTGAAATTGGCACCACATACCAGCAGGGTGATTAAACATAGCATCGTGTATCACATCACGTTTATTTTTAATGATCTATTAATAAACCAGTCACTCACTATGTTTTTGCTCGAACTTTCCACCACAAGTCTTTGATTAATGCACTATCCGATAAAAAAGTATTCCTCATTTGCATATGATGTAAGAAGAACACCTGATATTAGAATGGAACAATATATTCTTTTTTTTTTAAAAGATAAGATATAAATTGACTTTTTTAAATTCTTTTTGATCAACCTTTAAGGACTTCATGCATATTTTTAAAAAATAATAAAGATATAAATTGACTTTTTTAGCTTCTTTTTGATCAACTTGGATTCTTTTTGATCAACTTGGATTCTTTTTGATCAACTTGGATTCTTTTTGATTAACTTAGATTCTTTTTGACCAACCTTTAAGGACTTCATGCATATTTTTAAAAAATAATAAAGATATAAATTGACTTTTTTAGATTCTTTTTGATCAACCTTTAAGGGCTCATGCATATAACTAACTCGTGATTTATGTATTTTCTTTGTGAAATTTTTTGTCACGCATCGCTTCGGCTTTACATTCACAAATTCGCCTGCATGAGTATAACAAAAGAACCTCCAAATGACCTTTTATTTTTGGAAAAAATCTCTACTCGAATTCCACACATTTGAAGCACTCATAATATTTATGGTAAACTCATTCAATATATCGCAAATGAATTCATTATTTCAGTAGATGGTGTGTTCTCCGATATATATATATAGAGAGAGAGAGTACGCGAAGAAAAAATTCCATCACACACTTACCTGTCCTAGTTAACTGTTATATCAAAATGAAAAAATTGACTGCTCTCCTGGTTGTTCTTAGCAGTGTTTTCATGGTCAATGCTTACTGCGTTTATAACAGTGCCAGTATTCCGGTTTATGTAACGATTGGTTCTAACGTTTTTACCAGCTTCAAACAAACCCTTGCCCCAGGAACATACGGTTGTTGTAATTGGCAAAATGAAAGCTGTAATCCGAGTAAGAATAAAAATGAAACTTTACCTATGACGATTGAAAGCGATTGTGGGTGTTATTATGAAGGGCAGATTGTTGCAGGTCAGTTGATATCTTTTACGTATTAATGTTGTTTAATGTGACAGTGAACAACATATGAACATATCTCCATAGGTTACTCGTGTACATTTTTTGGTGATGACGAGAGTTGTCCTCTAGATCAACCCACTACTATGAACGTCACTTGCGAGTGAGTATTAAATTATTTCCAATGAGAAAGTGTCACGCTCCTATCTAATTCACCTTTTGTTTTATAGGTTCTTTGGTACAAATGTGTTTGTTAGTTGTTAATTGAGTATTTCAATCTTTGTTTTAGTTTATATTTTGTGTAACTACGTTGTATCGCAAGAATTTGAAAAAACTACTATCTTTGGCTTAGCGCCCTTGGCTTCAGTCATATTGCGAGTTTTCATAATTTTGATTTTTCACGGTCATTTTTCATCTCTTAACGAAATCTCAAACAGATGGCACTTCTTATGCTTTAAAAAAGCATTCCGTACTCGTATTACAGTTTCTACTCCACGAGATGATTACTAGACTTCGTTATATGTACTTTTTTTTCTATCTTGTATTATATTTATCTCAATAAAGATGGCTTTTGAAATAGATCATGCAATGATTATCCCTAAAATATAACGACGCACTATCAATCTTGATATGGTGATCATCATATATATACCATTACCGATTATCAACCTTCGATTCCCATGCTTCTTTTTTAACGCATTATTCGTCTTGAGTAGGACATCGGCTCTAGGAATAAAATCCTAATGGCTCGTCGAGTTGCGTTGCTTTTGTCTTTTTTTTTCTATTAATAAAATACCGTGAACCTTTTTCTTATTCCCACCACGAACTGCTACGATGGACACAACTAACTTGACCAATAAGCGAAAAGAAGAAGCTACGTTGGAGGAAATGGATATCCTCACGTACTAGAAGACGTAGCAACTAACTCTTCCACAACCTTGATATTGTATTCGATCCGTCGAGGGTATATTTATTTTTATGAATTCTTATGAATCTTTAGATTCGAGAATTGGGTTTTTGTGCTGATAGGAGAATTACCTAAGTTACTTGTCACGAGTTTGCTTCAGCAAGTTGTGGAATTCAACAGGGCCATAATCGTCATACTCCAACTGGAGATGATGGCTCAGTGCTTTGGCAAGGGTAATTAGTCTGCTCCGCAAAAATATGCAATCTTAAGTAATCTAAAACCTAAGAATAGAAATATTAGGCTTTTACTTTACCCATTTGCTTGGTTATCGCTAACATTTTTTATCTGCAATATTAGCACCGAACCCAACACGCAACCAGAGAATTATGCATGCATGATAAAGTCTATTATCTTGAAAGGAAATGGATGAGCATTCCCATCAATTTTGAAGATTGTGTGTCATCTAAAAAAACAAGACTCGACAAGATGTTTTCACTCGAGATTTACTTTTCAAAACCTTAATCCGAGAGGCAAAAATTAATAATGATGAATCCGATTTATCCGAAATTTCTTTAAGCTTTCTCAAATTAGTCGATATAGATATAATTAGTGAGGTGAACGAAATAGATTCAGACTTACCATCCATCAGTGCAAATGACAATCTCTTGTGAGTCACTTTTGGACAATGGTTGGGTTTTAAAGAGCCAATCAAGTAAAGAGAGGTGCAATGACATCTTAAACATAAGTAGAGAAAACTTAGACATGCCCTAGATCTATGGAATAACATAAATTTTTCAACTACACATATCAACTGAAAAAGAAAAACACAATTAATTATATCAGCACGTAATAATTTTCAATCACTGGAAAGACTTGTGCAATTTCAATATATAGTAAAATTGAAGTGTGTTATTGATAGCAAAAATAGAATCTTATTATACCTCGAAAAGTTAGATAATCTATCTGTAATCATAGAAGCCATAAATGCTTTATAATCTTTCTTTTACCAGCTCAAACACCGCAAGCTCCCATAATGCTAATCATCGCGAATGTGTTAATAATCTTCTTCATGCTCTAAAGCCATTATCAAATTGTATCAATAACTTTATTTAGTGTAATTATGTGGGGTTATATGAGAAACTATCAAAATTAAAGTATGTCTCGACTGTTAAACATTTTTCCTATGATCGCAATTAATTTTAACACGATTAGTGATTATCACTAGGATGAGAATGATGAACCAAATTCATTATGTTGCTTGGTTACATTGGGTGATTTTGAAGGTGATGAGCTGTGTTTTTCCCAGCTTCAAATTATCATACCACTTCATTCAGGATATGTCATTGCCTTTTCCTCATGTCTCTTATTGTATGGTAACTTTCCTGTGACAAAAGGTATCTGGCATAGTATCATTTACTTTATCTATGATATCTTTTTTCATCATCACAGGAATTTCTTATACATTTATAATATTCTTGAGACTGAAATGGGGAGAGATAAATTGATCATTTCTATAATTCCTTATCAGGATCTTAACTATACTTGAGATCTGAATAATGAGATTAGATTTGATAAAACAAGAGCTAATCAAATATGAATTCCATCAGCATCATCTGATCATAGATGGAAGCATATTGGTAAGTAATTTAGATGGTATTAGTATATAAGTTAAAAACAGATCTTAGAACCCATACTAACTTCGCTAATTGAGTATTTTCTTTAGACTTGAGACGAGCATGATGAGGTTTAAAGGCCAAGGATCCTCTTTCCAATAGATTATAGTTATATAACAAAAATTCATCACTAAATGTCATGTAAATCTATCAATCACTAGATTTTTTTTAGCAGAGCTGGTATATAATGCTAATGTAAATATATTAATAAATATGAGATCATAGTATGATTACAGGTTACATCATAGTTTATTAAAATTTTCTTGGCAAAATTTCAGTGAACTTTTTTAATAAAAAGTTTGCCAAAAATCACGTGTTTATTTTTATTTGAATACTTGTATATTATGTATAAAAAGTGCTTTCAAAAATGAAATCCAAGATTAACTTTCTTAGACAGAAAAATGCCAGACTTATGGCTAAGATTATTAGACTTGAGATTGAGAATACTGATGTTAAAGCCAAGTATGATAAGGCTATGAATGAGGTTATGAAGCTAAGAGCCGAGCTCAAGAATAGAATTGAGAAATTAGAAAAGGATAGAACAGATACTGTTACTGAAAATACTAGATGTGATGATATAATTGCTAAGCTTAAGACTGAAGTAGTGAAACTAAGAAATAACAATGAGAAGATCAAATAGCAAATTCAAGATATTTCTTCCAAGAAAATTATTAATATATCTAGCTCTATTATGAATCAGCTTAATAATACTTCTGAAAATCTAAAATCCAGTTTTCTTACATGAGTAAGCAGAAGATATTAAAGAATAAAGAGACAGATACTTTCTTAAATGAGATGCATAAGAAAAGAGTTAGTAATGAGATTAGATAGAGAAATAGAGAGGAAAAACTTTAGTGCAAATTATCTAGTCAGAAGACTTACTTGATTATCCAGAATATTACATCTGCTTTCCATGAGCAGAAAAATAAAAAGAGCTTAATTTGAGAAATAATTTCATTCAAGAAAGAAAAATGTGAGATTTTAATAACTCCATCTATTCTATTTATATTCCAGTTGTCAAAAGATAATGAAAATATTATTAGTCTATATAAAAATGCATGTAATATGAAAATAAATATAATCAAAGTCAATAGAAAGGAAATATTACATTAATATTTCTATACTAGAGAATTTAAAAGTATGTATAAAGATTTTATGATCAATAATAAACTTAAAAAAAAGAAGGCAAAAGACTAGATATATAACTTTATTATCAAATAATTACCTATTATCAAATACAAAACTTTATACAAATAAACACAAAAAGTCTTAAGAATTAATAATTTATTTAAAAAAATAGGAATAAACTAGATTCAATATATTAAAACATATAGTATGAATATTATTTTAAAATTTATTAATTCTCAGATTCAAATAATTATAAGTTATTTCATCAAAAAATCTGATATAAAATTTATTAATAAAAAGAATAATTTTTTAAATAATTTATTTAAAACTGAGATAAGTATATCTATCAAATCAATTTTTTTAGATCAAAAAATTATTACTCTACAATAGATTCATCTCAAGAAAATAATTAAAATAAGTTAAAAACTCAAAGCTCTGCTTTCTTGAAATTATCAAAAGCTGAAGTAAATATATTTATCAAATCTATTTTTATTAATTTAAAAAAATTATCAAATATTGAAGTAAGTATATTATAAATAAATATATTATTACCGTAGTGTCATAAAATTCCTTAATTCCTTAATCTTTCTCTAGTTATAAAATATTACATTTTATTATAATTTTATTTATTTTATAA